GTTTACAACAGAGGAATACCTGTTTTAGCAGTATCCCATACAGTAATGTTTTATCATAGTTCATTCAAATCACTCATCCATACATACACATTGTAATACCCAAGGGTATAAGTGACATATACTTTCTTCGTATCCAGTAAGCTAGGGTGTGCACCCTTGCTCATTCTTGGCCATTGTGACCCAATCAAACTGGGCTGCCCCTCCTTGAGGGGGAGTGGAGAGTGCCACTTTGTTTGCTTATTTCAGATGGCTTTGACTTCTGGGATTACATGTGTACTGGAGATCATGCTTAGACTATAAGGCTAACAAAGTGCTCTAAATTGATAAAACTGGAAGTAGAGGGGAAAAAAAGACAATAAAGAGCATCAAGTCCCATGTTAGAGTGCACGATTTTATCGCTGCTTATGGCAGAAGAATATCATCAAGCAACTGATCAGGAAGGCAGACAGCAAAGCTCAGCCAAGGATGGATAGAAAATTTTGACATTGTGAAGAGCATCACAGACATCGATAAATATCTACTGAGCACATATCATGTGTCAGGCATAGATCTAGATGCTGAGGATACAAGAGGAAAGGACACAGACAAAAATTCCTGTTCTTATGCGGATTAAATTTTAGTGGAGAGAAATAGATGGGAAACAAAATAAATAAGTAAAATATATAGTTGTTAGATACTAAGGGTTGGTGTAATGGTAGTAACTTTAAACAAATAAGTTGGAGAAAACCTCATTGAGAGAGAAATGAAGAGGCAAGCCATAAGGAAACTTTTTGAAGAGTATTCCAAGGAGAGAAAATTGCTAAGGAAAGAGCAGAACCAGGGAAATGTTTCCAATTATGTTGTTAATCTAATAAAATAGGGATGAGTCTCCACAGAGAATATGCTATAAGGAATGAACAAAGCACTATTCAGTTATCTCAAGCATTTCTAGGATGCACCCTCTGAGCAAAGCATTGGAAAACTTTTTGAAAGCATTTCTAAGATGTATTATCCCATAAAATGTATTAAAACTTAATTGGTAAGGTCAGACAGTTACACAGTTACTGATTTTTTTTTCCATATTCACCATAGATAGGAACAATTCGCATGAGAGAAACCCTGATTTTAATGCTTTCTTTTCTGGATAGTTTTGCATAATTTTTACTTGATGAACCCACTAATACTCTCTTCCATCCACAGTTTTGCATAATCTGCATAATAAAGATATACTGAAGAAGAACTTGGAACTGAGCAATTCAGCAAGATCACAGGAACATGTGTTGGGAGCTGCCTGTCAGCAAATGCTGCGAGAAATTCTGTGACTATCAGGACAAATGTTGCAGATAAGGGTAAAATAAATGGCCTTAGCAAGATTTTGTATAGACTGCATATTTCTTGTGGGGTCATCACTACTTCTAAAGAATCCAACTAGAATTGTTATTTTGGAACATAACTTTTTGGGTTCGTGCATACATCTGTGTATTCCAGATTTCTCTAAAATATTTATCTTCCTAACTGCTCATTACCCTGATGAGTGTAGACTGTTGTTAGAGGGGACTTCCACAGCATTGGATTGTAGGAAGCTAGCAGGAAATTCCAGTTACCTTGCTACATAACAAATTATCCTAAAATTAGAGGCTTATAACAACTACATTTTTGTTTATAATTTTTTGGGTCAGGAATTCTGGAATGTTACGGGATGGTGGTAATCTGAAGGATTGACTGGGCTGGATATAACCAACGTGGTTTACTCACATAGCTGTCAGCTGATGGTGTCTTGGAGCTGTCAATCCAAGCACTTCCAAGTGGCCACTTCATGTCGTCTGGGCTTCTTCCCAATAAGGCAGCTGCAGGGCAGTCAGATTCTTATAAGGCTCCAAATGTGAGTGCTGCAACATTAAAGATGGAAGCTGCATTACTTGTTATAATTTAGCCTTGGATGTCACACACTGTTATTTCCATCACATTCTATTGGTTACAAATGAGATATAAGCCCACCCAGAAGAGGTTACCTGTACCTGCCTCCTGATGATAGGAATGTCAAGGTCACATTGATTGTAGAGGAACATGTGGCAGAGGAGATATTGTCGTGGTCATATTTGAAAAATATAAGCTTCCAGACAGGGTGAGTTAGCAAAAGTAGAAGGTGTGAAGGCCCCGAATTCAAGGTAGAGTACAGAGGTCACCGCATCTTGTAGAGAAACAGGCAAAATAAGAGCAGAAACTGCAAAATGTTTACATTCTTCTGCTCACAAGAGCAAAAGGATCCAAGAATATAGGAGGAGTTTAAACAAGTCAGGTTAAGGTTTCAAAAAAGGCCTCACTCTGTATTGTATACTTCAGGGTACCTTAATTCTCTCATGGTAATTCACTTATTAATTCATTAGCTTTAAGTAAATATCTCCTACATATAGTAGTGGTGGCAGTAGTAGTAGTAGAATAGTCAGAGACTACCCTAGGCTCTTATTTATCAGTCAATAAATGCAAGAAAAAGCCCGACCCTCATGCAGAGTATATCCTAGTGGAGTAATGATATTAAAATACATTACACTGCATGCAATTAAGTGTAGGACTATTGGAGGTGGGGCTTCAAAGAACCCTAATACTTCACCCAACCCTGGATCCATACCCTTTGTCATGCAACTTTGACGTTCAACAAAAACACCCTATATTTCCTCATGTGATTTGCCAGCAGACTAAGGCAGACAAAAGTGTGTGTCCTGAGCCCGCACCCTCAGAAGTCTCGCATGCCTCTGCTTTTGCTTTAGCCCCTCTGCCACTGGCAGGCAAGCTTGCTGGGGTTGGGCAGCTAAAAGACAAGAGACATGAGCCAGAGCCCAGTCACCTCACTCTCCCCAAGCCAGACCCAACCCACCTCCAGATACCTGAATGAGCCCTGCCAAGATCCCAGATGCATGAACATTAAACTGACTGTCATCTGCTATAAGATTTTGTGATTGCTTGTTATACAGCATTTTGGGGCAATAGATGACACAATTGGGAAAAAGCAGAAGAGCTCCTTTTCCTGGAGACGTGTTTACATACAGTTCTATTTTGAAGCCAGTTAGCAGATCCCTGTTGTTGTTGCTGGTGCTACCTCCAGGCTGGAGTGTTTGGAAGAATAATCAGAGTCAGAATTAATAGAGTTGCCTCTAGATTCATGACAAGGTGATGAAGTGTGGAGGAATGAAGTGGAATAAGGCTTCATTTCTGCCAGTAAAGGATCTTATGTTTCCTTCTCTGAGGGGACAAAAGTCACCGCTAATGCCTGTCATGGTCGAGGGATAAGGAAGGAAGTGTCAAGAAGAAACTCAACATTCCTGTTGCTTCTTTGATGCCTTTCCTTCCTTTAACATATCGAGCTCCCTGCCTAAAGTGGACTTTTTTGTATTATTATTATTAAAAATAAACCTGTTTTGGCAGGATCAAAGGGGGATGATGGCCATACTGTCCTTGAAATATGTGGACGTGTCAGTCCTGGCAGTCATGCTGGCAAACTAAGGTTCTTTCCCAGACTACATAAAGTAAGGATGGAGGGGCAGGGAATTTAATTTCCGATTCCCAATCGCGGTGACATTTAACACTTCTGAGGAAAAAAAAAAAAAAAAGAAAATGCCTCCAAACTGGCCTTTCAAGTAAGTGGAATAGTTCCTCTCCCCACAAAGAATCAGAAACTGTTCTATGAGCCACTGACTCTTCTGTGTCTTGCTCAGTCCCTATCAAAATGCAAATACTCCTGGGAGACGTGACCAAGTCTTTAGTCTTCAAGAGTCAACAGTTGGGGAAAGCCAGAATGATTTCAAACAGCTGAGCACAAGAAAGGCAACTAGCTTGCATAATTGTTCGTTTTCTGTTTTTCCTACTGAATTGTAAGCTCCCAGAGGTCTGGGACCATGTCTATCTTGTTCATCCATCTATTTGCAGGTTTCAGGACACACAGGAGACCCTTCATAATGCCCGTGGGACAAAAGCAGAAGAGAACAAACCTGGGAAAGAAGGGAAGCAAGGAGGAGATAAAAAGCCTAATCAGCCGGGCGCGGTGGCTCACGCCTATAATCCCAGCACTTTGCCAGGCCGAGGCAGGTGGATCTCGAGGCCAAGAAATCGTGACCATCCTGGTCAACATGGTGAAACCCCGTCTCTACTAAAAATACAAAAATTAGCTGGGCGTGGTGGTGCATGCCTGTAGTCCCAGCTACTCGGGAGGCTGAGGCAGGAGAACTGCTTGAACCCAGGAGGCGGAGGTCAGTGTGAGCCGAGATCGCGCGGTTGCACTCCAGCCTGGGTAACAAGAGCGAAACTCCACATATATATGCCTAATTAAATTCTCACATAGCGTTTATCCTAATATCAAGTAGTTAATGACCCCTAGATATGTTTTGAGCCTTTACAATGCACGCACCGCAGGAGGGGAATGCCCCTTCCTTGACTTAACCTGGTGTGTTTCTTTGAGATTTTACTCCTGTGTACTCTAAGAAAACAATCCGAAAACCAGAGCTAGGAAAAACGTTTCCGTATGGGGTATTTCACATTTTCAATGCATTCAACACGATGTGCTCAAATGCCCCAGCTTTTGGGATTGAAGCATTCATAATGAGAACTCCGAAGCGACCACGATGAAATACAAACTTCAAAGAAGGCGCCCAGGTTTTTCCTGGTACTCAAGCCTAGTTCAGTGGCTCCTCAAACTTTAATGTGCATGCGAATCACCTGGGGACCTTGCTAAATATTCAGATTTGGATTCGGCAGGTCTGGAGCGAAGCCGGAGATGCTGCGTTTTTCACATGCTTATAGGATGTTCTAAGCCAAGGACCACACTGTCAGTGTCCAAGGGACTGGAGATCGTCACCTCCGCCGCCAGGTGTGTGTATGCTGAGTCTCGGCGTTCCAGATCGGTGTCCCGCACCTCCCCGGCCTTCCGCCAGGAGGGGAGGAGCCGGGGGCGGAGCGGGAGGAGTGGCGCGGGCCCCGCGTGGGTCCTGCCAGAGATCGCCTCGGCCCCTTGGAGAGGCAGCCGAGCTGCGGCGGCGCAGGAGGGGGCGGGTTCGGCGAGGGCGCGGCCTCTGAGAGGGGGGCGCACTGTACGCATCCCCCGCGATCGCCCGGGCCGCTCGGGAGCCTCGCGGCAGCCCGGCGCCCCACTTGGCCATCCATCCGCTCCTTGCCCGCCTCCTCTTGTCACCTCCCGTCTCACCCTTCTCGCTCCGTCCCCGCCGCAGGCACCGCCATCCGAGTGAGCGCCTCAGAGAGCCGGAGGTGGTGTGCTGGGCTGCAGGGCGCGACCTCGAGCGGTCCTTAGCTCCGCACTAGCACTAGGGGGCACGGGCGACAGCATGGACTCCAAGCGCTGCTTCGCCAATCGCTTCGATGACTACCAGGGCAGCCTGCTGGCGGGCCAGTGTGAGGAGGCGGTGGCGCCCTTGGTCACCGCCACCATCGAGCGCATTCTCCAGGAGCTTCCCCCTCTCGGGGGCGGCGCCGAGGGCCGAGGCGCGACGGCCGGGGCTAGCGGCTGCCAGGGGGGGCTTTACGGCGGCGTGGCCGGGGTAGCCTATATGCTCTACCACGTCTCGCAGAGCCCGCTCTTCGCCACCGCCCGGGAGCGCTACCTGCGCTCGGCTAAGCGCCTCATCGACGCGTGCGCCCGCGCTGAGGAGTGGGGCGAGCCGGACGCCGACACCCGCGCTGCCTTCCTGCTCGGGGGCGCGGGCGTGTACGCTGTGGCCACGCTCGTGTACCACGCCCTGGGCCGGTCCGACTACGTGCAGCCGCTGGGCAAGTTCCGGGCTCTGTGCGCCGTCTGCGCGCCGGTCTCCTTCCTGGAGTGCGGCTCGGACGAGCTGTTCGTCGGCCGCGCGGGCTACCTGTGTGCCGCGCTGGTGCTCAAGCAGAAACTCGCCCAGGAGGTAAGAGGTAACCCCGGCCGCGGGAGGGCGCTCGCCGCCTGCCCGGCGGCCTCCCTTCCCGGGACTCCCTGGCTCCAGCCGGACTGCCCCGGGTTGCTCTCCTCTTTGTTACTCTTCTTCTGGCGCTGGCATGTATTTCTTCAGTCCCTTGAGGTCTGTCTCCTGCTTCTGTCCGTCTTCTTTCCTGTCTGTCCTCAGCCTCTGGTTTGTCGAGATTCGGTGTCTCTGCACTCTGCCGCTGTTTTGATGCAGATGCCTGTCAGCTTTCTGGGGGATGGCAGTGTGGCCCTTTCAAGTAAGATGAAAACCTCAGAAATGGAAGGGATTTCCTTTCCTTGGACTCTGCTGTCAAAAGCTGAGGCACCCTCGAATGTTACAGGGCCAGGAAGTAAGGGCACTTTTGGGGGCCGATGTGGACGCAAGTTGCTTCTGGAGCCCTGGGTCTGTAACCAAGAATAACTGCTCAGCAGTGTGGCTGATGTGTTTACTGTCTTGCTTACTCTTCAGTTCAACCCATGGCTCATACTAAATGCGTATCTGGTAGGAGTGTCCCCTTTAAAAGTACATAAATGTAGACGGAAATGTACCCCATTGTGGTTGCACGTCCATTATTTCATTTAAGAATATTTGCTTAGGATGGGCAAGACCACAGCTTTCTTGACCGGGCAGCTTTTCTTGGTGAGCAACTTGACAGCGGCTCCTAAAAAAAAAGTGAGTTGGTTTTCACATACAGAGTTTTTCCTGGACTCACTTTGAAATCAGCATGTGGTTATTAGAACAGAACATGCCAGTTCCTGTGGAGTAGGAAAAAGAACAAAACTCTGAGGGATCATAGTAACTAGAAATGAGAGAGGCTCTTTCATTCATAATCCACTGGAGCCAAGTATTGCTCTAGGCAGGAAGGGACACTTTTAACTCGGCTTTATTTAGGTGAGAAAGGCGTTTGAAGAAAAATTACTGGTATATAGAGTGTTTTAAGCGAGTAATTAACCTCGATAACCTTTGCAGAGGCAGACAGGGTTTTTCAATTCTTGTTATTTATAGCAGGTGCGGCTGATTCAAGTGAGAAAAAAGATTACTAAACAATGTGCACCCTGTTAGCTGGGCAGTGAAGGTCTGTGTCAGAGTTGTCTTGAAATAATTCGCTCTGCTTCTGAGTCACTGTTAACTGCCAGCGGTTTTTCAAATGCCCTTCCCGTTGTAGAAGACCTTTTAGAAGGCCACAGAGATATTTACATATCATTTGCATTGCATTTGCATCTGCTCCCCTCGCCTTGTAGTCTGGCAGCCGGGGATTTTCAAAAAAAAAATTTTTTTTTTCCCAATTGCTTTCCTTAATCTTGCCTCTTCCTCTTTCCATGCCTTCAGCCCTTTTGTCTAGAATGGAATGGGAAGGGTGCCTGACCACCAGGTCACACAGGTGGAGGCAGACCAGAAGGACTCTGCCCCAAAACTGGTGGTTTGGGCCAGTCCGCAACACTGATCCACAAAGACATTTATTAAGACCTCCCTTCTGCCCTCCTGCCAAACCAGGCCTATTTTTTTGTACTGACCGAGCTGAGGTGCAGGGTCCCATCCCCTGCTCCCAGGAGATGGAACAAGCTTCAGGGATAACAAAAAAACCACCACCACCAGCTCTTAACCTGAGCAAACCAGTTAGTTCCCGTGCCAGCTGCGGCTGTGGCAATTCAAGACTTTGTGGCTTGAAAGGCATAGCGCAGGGGCTAAGCACGCCAGGCTGGAAGCCCTTTGAGGGGAAAGCACAAGTTTTATACTCCATCCCCACCCCGCAAGTCCTAGCCAGCACAGGGCTTTGCCCTCAGTAGGTGATCCATAAACCTTGATTAAATCGAATTGCGAATTTGTATCATTTTTCTATAAATAATCTGTCAGTATGTCCTGGGTTTCTTTCCCTCCGACGTCATTAGTATTCACATTCCTCTGGCAGTTCCCTCGGTTATCACTCTAATTTAGATCCTCACCACATTACTTGGCACATCTTTGCCACCTGATACGTAGTTGAAGGACTGAATCACCATATATTGGGATTGGTGCAAGATACTTGGAGCTAGAATCTCCCACACAAGCCATTCCATCCACCTCTAAGAAACCAGTATTTCAAAAGACACTTTTCATTATGTTATTTCCCTGCTCGACATACTGCAATGGCTCCCTATTCCTTTTCCTCCAGTGGCTTGTCATCTCACAGCTAAAGTTATGATTCTCAAAATTAGCCGGGAAGGCTCCAGATGATCTAGCCTCCTACACACCTACTCTACTTCTTGCTCACTCTTCTTCAACGGTGCTGTCCATCTTACTGTTTTAGTTACTTTCCTGTCTCAGGGTGTTTGTTCTGACAGTTCTTTCTACTTGGAACACTCCCCCTAGATATCTATAGCTAGATGTCTAACCCTGTATAGGGTTGTTTTTTGTTTGTTTGTTTGTTTGTTTTCTTTTTGGGACCTGGTCTCACTCTGTTACCCAGGCTGGAGTGCAGTGGTGGAACCATGGCTGACTGTCGCCTCGACCTCCTGGGCTTAGGTGATCCTCCTACCTCAGCTTCCCAAGTAGGTGACACCACAGGCATGCGCCACTACACCCGGCAACTTTTTCTTGTATTTTTTTAGAGACAGAGTTTCGCCATGTTGCCTAGGCTGTTTTGGAACTCCTGGGCTCAAGTGATCTGCCCGCCTCAGCCGCCTAAAGTGCCGGGATGACAGTCATGAGCCACTGTGCCTGGCCTCCTAGAGGTCTTTACTTCCTCAAATGAGGCCTTTCCTGACTACCCTATTTAAAATTGCAACCCCACCCTTAACTTATCCCCCTTGCCTGATTCGTTTTACTTAAATTGTTTATTTTTGTCTTCGCCGATTAGAATGTAAGCTCCATAAGCGTAGACATTTTTGGTCTCATTGATGTTCCTTGTCAAGACTGCCCCATATATTTTTAGATACCCAGATCTGTGTGTGTTTGCAAATATCACTCAATTTTAATGGTGTCCCGTTTATCAGAATTTTCCTTTATGGTGGTGGTTTTGCTGTCAAGTTTAAAGAAATCGTTTCCTCCTGCAAAAGTTTTAGTAAATATTTTGTTAAATGGATGGATGAATGAATGAATTATAGTTTCTTACAGTTTTTTTTTTTTCCTTGGCCTAAGCTCAACCAATAAAGCAGTGCTTCTTAAACTTTAATGTGCATAGGAATCACCTGCAGATCTTGTAGAGCTGCATTTCTTACAAGTTCCTTGGAGACGCTGATGTTGCCGGTCTATAGAGCATGCTTTGAATAGCAAGGCGATACAATGGTGGATAGGTTTTGGCATTGTAACTGCCACCTCTATTAAGGCATACTATAAGACACCTCTCTGTAAGCTTGATATGTTTATTTAAAAGGTCTTTAGAATGCTGACTACTATATCCTACCTTTCACTCTAAAGATCCACAAGAGGAATTGCTCTCAGAATGTAGAGACAAATAGTTGTGCAACTCCTGAGGATCGAATTTCAAAACTCTTCAAAGTATGGCGTGTAACTGATTGTTCTTCACTTTGTGTTGGCTACTAGGGAGTGTATGGCTAGAATTGTGGTCCACATAAGGTAGCATACAATACCTTATCAGATCTATTTTTATGTGTAGATGTTTCCCCTGGGTTTATCTAATTTCTTTCTTAGTTTACCATTTTCTGGATTTTTTTTCCTTTTATTTGCTTTTGTTGTTTATATTTATGTTTACAAGGTTCAGATATAAGAAAAAGATGTATGTGTATGTAGCAAGGGACAGAGAATCCCTCTCTCCAGGCAATGTATTTTTATTTAACTTGGTCTTCCTGGAATAGCTCTGAGGAGTGCTTAGGCAGATATGCTTGAGCGATGGGGCGCTGAAGTCTCAAGAAATCCTGCCATAAAAACTTATATTGGGTCCACTGGGCTTTCCACTGATTGTTGGAAATGTAGCGGACAATGATGGAGGGATGAGGGGGAGACCTAGGATCTCAGTTAAAATAATAACTCTGCCACTGAGTGATCTTGGAAAAATATTTTAACATCGCTGAGCCTCAATTTCCTCATTGACTTATTCTGCTTTTCATTCGTCCATTCAGTGAACATCAGGTTTCTACATGGTGTGAGGTAACTCACTAGATGCTGCGGTTCAGTAGTGAACGAAAAAATAGAAGTCTGTTGGTGAACAAAAAAAATAACATCAGTCCTTTCAGATAAGTGCTCTTAAGGGTGTAATCAGGAACTGAGCACAGGTGGGAAAGGGGAGGGCTGCTGTTTGGTAGGAAGGCTTCTCTGTGGAGGCAATGTCCTAGCTTATCACTAGAGCATGGGAACCGAGTGGCTGCTTTACAAACAGGCATTCCAGGCAGAGGGCAACAGCCCCTAAGGTAGGAAATGGCTTGGACATTTCAAAGAAATGGAAGGAGGCTAGCATGCCTGGAGCAGAGAGCAGGGGATAGAGGAGTTTGAAACCATGGAAGGAGACATGAGCAGGGTAAAATCAGATCCTGGAGGGCCAAGTTAGTGAAAACTAGGAGTCTGCATTTGCTTCATGTTTAAAGGAGGAAATATCTTGATCTGGCTTAGCTTTTAGAAAGATCGCCCTGGTTTTCTGTATTGATCCTGAGTGGATTGACGATATTAACAATGATAATGACGAGGACTGGTTGTGTGAGGTCTAAACCCCTTTTGTGCCAAGGACTCCTTGTCAGTCTGGTGAAACCTACGGGACCTCTTCTTAGAATAATATTTTTACATGCATAAAATAAAACACACAGGATGACAAAGGAAGTCAATTATATTGCAGTCCTGTTACCAAAACATTTTTAAAATGTGTCATGCAGTAGCGTATGTGCTCCTTTATTAACAATTTACATAAGATTTTACAGCAGGTTTAATATAAAGCTTTTGAAACGGCGATGAGAGCCAATGATATTTTGAGATATCTTCCGCAGCTGCAAGTATGGTATGCATGTCTCTGTGATTTCTAGAGGTGACAAAGT